GAGAAAAAGCTTTCTAATTTTTTAAGTTACTAACAATGTAATTTAGATTGTTTTTTCAACAAATGTTATTTAGGCATAATAAGTTAATAACAATTTTATTTAGATTGTTTTTTCAACAAATGTTTATGGTGCAATTGAGAAAGCCAATATTTGGAAGACTACTAGATCGATCCACGTCTTATACTTAATCCATATTTTCGTTTACTTATTATTTTTTTTATAATATAAAATCACTAGAGGGAAGGTTTTATAATATAGAGGATCACTGGAGCCATAATTGTCAATGGTGAGAAAAAAAAAATACTAAAGGTTTAATCTATATATAATAGCAAATCCAAAAAAATGATTATTTTTTTTGTGTCTTCTCGGAAAACCGTCTTGTATTTATAGGCTTATGCTAGATTCAAGTTGTTTTTCAAAAAACCGCATTATGGTTATTTTGAAGGATTGCATCTTCTAAAAAAAAACGTTTTATAGTTATTTGCAAAAGTTGTATCTTTTCGTTACAACCGCTATGTCAATAGTTGCGTCTTTTTATTTTAACCGTTTTGTCAAAAGTTGTATATTTTTCATTATAATTGTTTTGTCAAAAGTTGCGTCTTTTCAAAAATAGCCGTTAAGTAGTTATTTTTCGAAATAACCGCTTTATGGTTATCTCGAAAAGTTGCGTCTTTTTAGAAAAATTGTTTGACATATATATATAAATATATTTTAGTTTTTCTGTTTTTTCAAAGAAATCGTATTATGATTATTTTGAAGTGTTGCATCTTCTCGAAAAAATCGTTTTATGGTTATTTGCAAGAGTTGCATCTTTTCGTTAAAACTGCTTTTGTCAAGAGTTGCGTCTTTTCGTTGTAACCGTTTTGTTAAGAGTTGTGTCTTTTCATTATAACTATTTTGTCAAAATTTGCATCTTTTCAAAAATAACCGTTAAGTAGTTATTTTTCGAAGTAAACGTTTTATGGTTATCGCTAAAAGTTGCGTCTTTTCAGAAAAATTGTTTAGCT